ACCGTGTATGCACGTGGTGTGTGTATGCATGCAGTGTCACCGTGTGTGTGTGTGTGTGCACGTGGTGTGGCACAAGCATAGCAAGGCACAGCTGAGCACAAGAGGTTGAGTTGGGCTATATGGTTTCTGGTGGCGAACAACTGGTGTCAATTGATCAGAGCATGGAATGCCATGAGCTATACGTGTACCCATATCCACACAGGCTGTACATAAACTTTATTACCATAACAAATACTGCATTTGACCTGCACACTAGGAAATAATATGCTGTATACAAATATGTATGTCGTACATGCTCCTGTGTTTTTGTCACTCTGTTGCGGCCTGCTGCTGCGTTTTTGCTGTGTTTTTGTCACCCCTCTGTACATGCTGCTGCACCGTCTTCTGCCCCCCCCCCCCCCCCAGTGTACACACTTTTCCGTACTTGTCGCCGCTTTTTTGTCTTTGTCTGAATGTCATCTTCATACTTCCGCCACCCCACCGCAATGTGCGCATATCTTTTCAATAGTAAGTTTGTCATGTTGCCTTAAACTGGCCACATTCCCATTGCTGACTGGATCCATGTGTATTTGAGAGACAGGATCTGCCTAGCAAGAGTAATCTGAAGGCTTTTCTACTCTCGTATGGCGTAAGAGAAATCACAAATTGGCTGCGGGCACAACATCAAATTTTAAACAATAGCACGTCACAGCCTAAGGACCAGCAGAGCACTTTTCCCGAACCAGCCTCTCCATAGTATTCAGTAGAAATCCATTGGAACAAAAATAGATTTCAACTCAGAGTTGCATGGTACTCAAGCTCTGCACTCTGACCAGTAGTCAAGGTTCATTTTTAGCCTTCAAGCTGTACAGGTCCAGACGGAACAATGACATGATGTGAGCTACTGGTATTTCACTTGTTCAGACTTTGGCAGGAGATGGAGAACTTACAGTGCAGGAACTTGACAACAAAAAGCACTTCAATTCGACACTGCGTGCTGCAGGTTAGTTCTGCGCCGGCTTCCGCGGATTGCAGATAGTGCGTACAGGACCTCGCGATCCCAGCAGTGCGTACAGGTTTTCTATGCACGAGCCCACATGTCGGGCATGCGTGCACTAGCTGCGCAAACTGGTTTGCGTGCAAAGCCCAGAAGCACGGAAGTTGAAAGTTTCACACATCGTATGACTCACTTCCTTTTGTGTGTGTCTGTGTCACTCGATGTTGATTATATTGGAGAGGGTTTGAGTCCTCATTAGCTTGAGTCATCATCAAACGTCGGCTACGAAAGAAGTCTCTTTCTAGATACTTGGATCTGATTTTTGACGTACTGTTTAGCCAATGTCAAGGAATGATTGCTCACAGGCTCTTTTAAAAAATAAGTGCACTTTTCGGTGGTGCGGAGGAAGTATATTTCTAGACTACATTTGAACTCAGGCAAAATTTGCACTCATATAATAATTAATAATTTTCGGGTAGCCTTGAGTATTGCAAATGCATTGGTTGACAATTTGACTGGATACAGCATATGTGACATACATGCTCAGTTTTAGTCTAAAATCCATGTAGCATAACAAAGATTGATGGATCTTTGCACCAAACAATTTTTGGCATCAGTTGAGCAAG